TTTAGTCTTTTTAACTATTCCAAAAACTCACAATGACTGACCTATGTTACGTTAAGGAGCTTAAAATGTTCATATTTTTGTATAAATGTATAATAATATTTGCTGAATTTTTTGTTCGACAAAAAACAAATCTAAAATTTTGTCGAACGAAAGACGTAATTTGAAATTTTTGGTAAAAGTTTAAATTAACAGCACTCTGTACTAAAAAGAAATATTTGTTGTTTATAAACCGAAAGAGAAAAGTTATTTATTTTTTTTGTGTATTTAAAAAATTATCAGTTTTTTATTAGTTGCCATATTTGTGAGAAAAATGGAGTGATGATGGTATGTTTTTATATTTTTGTGATTAGAAATGTTTTTTGGTTTGATTTTCGTACGGAGGTTTAATCTGTATATTGGCAAAAAGGGACCATTTTTTTTTTAAATTTCGTTTTAAGGTTATTTACTAATTCGTCTAACCTGCTTTACGAATTTTATTTTTAATTCATTAATTTATACCCTTAAGCCAAACACTGCGCATACTACTTTTTTTTATATATGATGAGAGTGTGATTACCAATAATTGTTAATGTTTACCTCTTATAATCGCCAGTATAAGTGGTAAACATCACAATAATTTATTTATATGTATTGCTTTTGTAATATTTAACTATAATAATTGTTATTTAATAAAAACTAAATTTTATTATTATGTTTTGTTTTATTTCCTTCTCCAAGGTATTTCAAAAATAATAGTAAAAATCATAAATAATTCAAGATTACAATATTTGCATTTTGCAATTCTAAGGTTTAAAAAACGAATTACAAAAATAAAATGAGAAGTTGATAAAATACTTCTAATAATTTTTCATTAAAGTGTTTTAACGAATAACCATATTTGTCCACGACAACTTAATAATTCAATATTCTACCTCCTAAGAGCACATCGTCGCCTTAGAGGTGAATAGGCCTAACTCACAAAAATTTCGAGTAATTTAAAGATAAAAATGTAATGTAATGCTGGGAGCATTCTTGGATATCGAGGGTGCATTTAACAATACCTTCGTTGAATCGATCATTAGATCTCTCAAACACAGAGGAATCGAGGACACGTGCGTGTCCTGGATCAACTCTATGTTAAGGGAGAGAACTATACACACAACCCTTATAGGAGAGACAATAGCGGCACGGGTAGCGAGAGAATGTCCGCTGGGTGGAGTGCTGTCTCCACTACTGTGGAACCTTGTAGTGGACGGGCTGCTTAGGGCTTTCAAAGATAAGGGACATAGAACCCTCGGATATGTCGATGATCTAGTGATCATGGCACAGGGAAAATACAATACAATATAGCAAGAGATCGAATGCAAGAGGCTCTAAATATAGTAACAAAATGGACAGAGGCGGAAGGACTAAACATTAGCCCAAACAAATGTGACATAATTGCATTCACCCGCAGGAAGAAATTAATAATAATAATAATTTATTATTTATTATATAAAACAAAGATATACAAAGTAGTAACTCTAAAAATATCGCCTAGAGAGATAAAAACGTATGGTAAATAAAAGGTTAAAGTTAGGTCATGGACCGATTCTGCCACAATAACCTTAAAAAAAAGGAAAAAGATATTTAAGTTTTACCACCCTTATAACAAATACGTAACTAACAAAAAAAAAATATATATATATTCTAATTGTTTTAAAAAGTACTAAATGAAGAGATCACAAATTCAGAGTTCAAAATTGTAAAATTCACAATTCACAATTGTAGGTTCTATAACATCATTAATTATCATTTAACGTAATATGGTACATTTGAATGTTTAGTATTTTAGTTAATGCTGTTTAGCGAACAGACGTTTTTTATGTTTTTTTCTAAATGAATTTAGAGATTGAGATATTTCGTGTTGGTCGAACATGTAACCAAAATGCGCAATTTGATAGGAAAATGAGCGTTTAAATATTTGTTTGTTATGTCTAGGAATAGTTATTATATTATTGGTTCTTAGTTGTAAATTATGGACCTCTGTTCTAAAGGTGATCTTTTCATAAAGATATTCAGGAGTTTTATGCTTTAGAATTTTGTAATAAAAACATAAAGAATGCAAGATTCTCCTATTATTCATGCTTAACCAGCCAATATCTTTTAACTTATATGATATCCTTTGAGGTCTCTTAATTCCGAATATCATGCGTAGGCAGGAATTTTGCACTTTTTGTATTCTTCCGATATCACTACTACCAAGAGAGGCAGAATATACAACATCACAATGATTAAAGTGAGATAGAATTAATGAGTCACAATGTTTTTTTTATTTCATAATTTAAACTAGTCCTATGTTGATATATCAACTTCAGTGCGGAATACGCTCTTCTAAGTTTTTCAGTCACATGATTTTTAAACCTAATTTTAGAATCGATGATTACACCTAAATTTTTACAATTATCACTAAAAGTTAATATATCGGGACCAAGAACAATATTAATTTGATTGATTGCTGTCGTTTTTTGAAGTTCACTACCAAACACCATTGCACATGATTTACTTGTATTAATAGAGAGGAGGTGACTAGTGGAGAAGGAAATTACTGATTCTAGATCTTGATTGATTTGGTTATTAGCTTCTAAAAGGTTTTCTAATTTAAAATTAAGATATAATTGCGTATCATCAGCATACATATGGTATTTACAATATTTTAAAACAGTTGGAAAGTTGGACGTGTATAATGTATATAACAAGGGGCCAAGTATACTTCCCTGAGGAACTCCTTGTTTAATATTTATTGATTTTGAAATGTCTTCTCCTAATTTAACACACTGACTTCGATTATATAAGTAAGAGGACAAGAAAGAACAAGCAGATGTACTAAATCCGAGGTAATGGAGTATAGATAACAGAAGTTGATGGTTTAACATATCAAACGCTCTGGAGTAGTCTATCAAAATTAAAATATTTAACTCATTTTTATCTAGAGCAGATAACATGTCATCAGTTATTGTAGCCAGGGCTGTCGAGCAACTGAAGCCACGTCTGAAGCCAGACTGATGATTAGGTAATAATTTATTGTTAGCTATATGTGTTCTTATTTGCCGTTCTATAATTTTCTCAAGTATTTTTGATAATACAGGCAAAATACTTATACCTCTTAAGTGGGTAAACTCAGAGGGGCGTGAAATTTTGGATATAGGCACTACAAAAGCTTTTTTCCATTTCACAGGAAAATATTGTTTTGAGATACATTGATTTATTAAATGTGTAATGTAAGGTACTATAAATGGACAACACAGAAGAATAATTTGAATATTTAAGCCATCACTACCATATGCTTTAGATTTAATGTTTTTCACAATTTCAAGAATTTCTACTTCAGAAGTATTACTGAACGTAAGCGCCGAATTCACTGTTTCTTTTATGTGATGGTTATAAAATTCAACAATATTCTGGTCTGGCGTTGTATTATTTATTGATTGAGTAATAAAAAAAGAATTAATTTCTTCAGCTTTCCTTAAAGCAGGTGGTAACTCCCTATTGATTTTAATGTTAATGTCTAATTTTTTTAACTCTTGCCATTTTTGTTTCATATTTGAATTATTAAATTTATATTCCAGGAACGCTTTTTTTTTCTCTTTTGATTGCAGCTGATGTGAAATTTCTTTATTCTTTGTAATAGTCCCAGTGAGCTGCGAGTTTTGATTTTCTGAATTTTTGTAAAGCCCTGTCTCTTAGCTTTTGCATTATTTTTATATTATATGTGATCCAGGGAGGATTTTTTCGTTTACAAGTATTAATAATTTTTGTGTTTATAGGCGCATGTTTGTCAACAATGTTTAGAATATTAGACTTAAAAATATTTAGTTTTTCATCAATATTATTAGTATTGTAAAACAAATTCCACTCTATGCTTTCCAAATCTACTTGAAATTGATCAATGTTAATGTTGTAGAGGTTCCGAGAAGAACATTTAATTATTCTATTTTGATCTGTATTTATTTCAAAACAACAATGCACCAAAAAATGTCGTACTAAATTTTGTATCCTTAACGCCAGATTCATTTACCTCAAAATTAGCATATATGTGATCAATTAGTGTCATTGAATCACTTGAAATATGTGTTGGTTCGAAAATATTTTGTTTTAAATCGAAGGATTCAGTTACAGATAAAAGTTCAGTGGTCAGATTTGAATTTAAATCAAAAAGATTGATATTGAAATCACCAGTACATATTAGTTTATCATATTCTGTAGATATATTCACTAGAGTATTTTCGAATTTGTTTAAAAATAATTTAGTGTCAGATATAGGGGCTCTGTATATTACACCAATAGCATAACTCATTTTATTTATGTTAACTTTAATCCAAAGTTGCTCTATATAATGCACATTTTCATTTATTAATATATTAAAGTCTAAATTATGTTTTATATATATATAAGTATACCACCGCCACGCTTATGAAGTCTATCTGTTCTCACATGGTTGTAGCCATAAATATTTAATAAATTATCATCCAAGTTTCAGTAACTCCAAAAATACTATAGGGCTTTGCTAATATTATTTGTTTCAATTCATTCAATTTTGATGTTATAGAACCTACACTAAGATGACCTATAGAAATATACATTATTACTAAATTTATTTTTCTATAGATTGTATTGATACTAAAAACGGTTTTGCAAAGAAGTAATCCTATATTTAGATTAAAATTAAAAATTAAATTTTACAACTTCTTAAGCTTATCGGGCTGTAGCGAAAAAACTTGCTTCTTCTTCTTTAGGATTTTACTTCGGTTCTTTCCACCACGGTTGAATTTAGGTTACTGGAATTTGGTTTCTTTACAGAGTTGTCCACACTCCTCTCCGAATAATTATTTTCACTGTCACTAGTACCGGCTTCTTCTTCAGATTCAAGGTCTTTGAGTTGTTCAGCACTGAAGGTTTGATTGTTTACATGTAAATGAAATCCCTTGATTTTAGCTTCCAAGTTTTGTGATCTTGCATCTTTTAAATGTATTCTCAAAATT